GAAGGGAGCATGGGATTTGTCTTAAGTGATGTCCAGTGGGGGTGCCTGGAGGACTGATGGTGCCTCAGCACAAAGAAAGCTGGCAGTCCACAGATGGCTCCCTAGGGCAGCGGAGGACCCCATGGCCCCAGACTAGGGAAAGGGAGCTGAAGGGGAGAGGGGAGTCCCCTCAGAGTTAAAGGCCTCTGAACACCCACTGATGGGCAGATCCCAGGAGAGAAACGTCTGCTGGGCTAAAGAGCAGGCAGTTTCTCTGTCCCTCTCTTTTTGGATAAGTTGGCACAATTTATTTATGTTATTGATATGAGAGTCAGACAGACATAGAGAGAGCTGTTATCCACTGCTTCACTCCCCAGAAGTCCTTCCACCTCCGAAAGCCAGGGTTGGGCAAGGCCAAAGCCACGAGTAGGGAACTCAATCCAGATCTCCCATGCAGATGGCAGGGACCCAAATCCTTGAGCCTCCACCTGCTGCCTTGCAGTCTGCACAGGAGCAGGAAACTGGAATTGGGAGGGGAGTGGGCACTCAAACCCAGGCACTGATACGGGACGCAGGCCTCCCAAGCAGTGTCTTGCCCACTGTGCCAAATGCCCGTCCCTAAACCATTCTCTGAACAGTGAATGCCCTCTCCCCGCCCTCACTACCCTTCTCTAGGGTCCGAAAGGGCAGCCAGTGTCTTTCCGAGCCCTTCTGGCACCCTGTGATCCCTTCTAAGGCGAGGAAGGACCCGCGCTGGAAGGCAGAGTGAACTGCGGCAGAATTCATAGGATTGCACGTTCTGGTTCTGGGTCGAGACTTGTGCTGCTTGAAAGGGCCGTAGGTCTCCCTCCGTGTGACCTCAGCATTTCCGGTTTATGGGCCTGCCTGAGACTTCACCCAGGGATACGGAAGAGCCCTCCCCTGGAGAGATGCAAAGAGACAACAGGAGGCGAAAGTAGAGTTGCTTTGGTTGCACCCTGAGAGTCCTGCATATTCAAGGTACAGCGCCTGGCCTCAGCCAGCTGATACTCCCTGGGCACCCAGGAAGACCACGCTTCCTCCTCATGCTATGCTTCCTGGCCCCCTTGATGCCTCCTGCTGCACTGGAGTCCAGGAAGGGATGCGTGTGAGGTTTGTGTCTGTGTCATCACTCATGTGGATTTGAACTGCTTGAGGGCAAGAACCATGCCTTATTTATCTTAGTATCTAACATGCCATCTGTCACAGTGCTTAGTACACAGCAGACGTTAAAAAAAAAAAAAAAAGAAGAAGATTGTAGAGTGACCGAATGACTGATGAATGAAATCGTGCAGGGTTCGCTAGCTAATATGCGCTGTTTTCATGAAGGCAGAAAAGACACTGTGGTTACTCTTCCCCCTTCCGTTGCCAAATGGAGTTCTAACAGCGCTTGCTGGTTTCACAGCCCACACTTCCAGTGCTCCCAGGCCCCCACGGTATTGTCAGCACTTCCCAGGGGGAAATGTCATCCCACACGTCTCTGTCACAAGGTGCACTTTATCATCCTGTTATCCGTGTACCCAGTTGTTTTTCACTGCTTAGAAGTGTACCTAAATGACAAAATAGCCGTATTTATCATAGGAAAATTATAGCATGCAGATAAGCACTGCGGTAGTGAATCCCCACCAACTACCCCCAAGTGTCAGCCACTGAGAGTACATTGCCTTCCTCGGAGCCCTTGTGCCCCCCCTTTTTTTGGAATAGCAGTAGAGGCTACATGGGATCAATTCATGTTTTTCTTATGACTTTAGGAAGCGACTGTAAAAGGAGTGTGTGTGTGTGTGTGTGTGTGTGTGTAGGGGAAGGGTAAAGTCCTGGAAGTGTTGGCATGACCCTGCATGTGGGAGCCAAAGCTAGGGTGGAGGCACTGATTGATTCAGGCATTGTTACTGCAGAGCACACCTGGTCAAAGGAGCGGTGACCTGGGGCCCAGGTGGGTACGGGGCAGAAACCTGTGTTCCCAGGCCAGCCTCTCCAGGCACCTGGCTGAGAAGGTGATTAATTGTCGGGTGAGCCCAGGCTGGAACCTACAGGGGCTTTTTCCTTTCATATTGGGTGCTGCTTACGCGTTTTCTTGGAGCCAAAACTAGAGTGTGACAAAAGCCATAGGGCAGTGGTTTTCAACCAGGCTGATTTTATCCCTCCACCCAGTCCCTAAAGAAAATCTGGTAACTTCCTAAGTCATTTCTGGTTGTTAGAACTGGAAGAAGGAGCCAGTGGTATCCAGACCAAGGATGCTGCTAAACGTCCTACAGTGCTTAGGAAAGCCTCCCACGACAAAGATTATCTGGGCCAAAATGTCCGCTGTGCCAAGGCTGAAAAACCCTGTTCTTTCAAAAAGGTGGCATGGACATTGTGGCCCAGAGGTGACGTCACCATTTGGGATGCCCGCATTCCTTATCAGAGTGCCTGGTTCAAGTCCCGCCTGGCTGCTCTGCTTCTGATTCAGCTTTCTGCTAATACACATCCTGAGATGAAGTACCTGGGTGCCTGCCACCCACGTGGGAGACCCAGATGGAGTTCTTGGCCCCTGTCTTCAGCCTCGTCCAGCACTGCCTGCCTGTTGCAGGCTTTTGGGAAGTGAACCAGTAGATGAAAGATGGATCTCTCTGTCTCTCTCTTTGTTGCTTTGCTTTGCAAATAAAAGTAAATAAATAAACATTTTTTCAAGGCAAGACAACTCTTGGCAGCAGTGCTATTGCATGAAAGGGAAAGGACTATAACAATATTGATTGTGTTTTGTCTGACTTGCCCATTGAGACATCAGTTTGAAAAACTCTCCTCTGTGCATCTGGAATCTATCAGCTAGATTAAGAATGCTAAAGGTTTTTAATCAGTGATCAGTGTTTTGTGCATTTGTGAAAGGTCAAGAGTTGTCATAAGAAAGGGCAGGCAGCACTTCCCTGCAAATCGTACTTGAAATGATCCCAAGTAGCTTTTGAAAACTAATTTCATTAAGTTCAGTGGTGTAAACAGCCAAGTGGTTGTTAATCCGGGGTCAAACCTGGGGAAATGGGGACGGAATGGGAGGTGGAGGAAAGATGCTAAGTGATGGAGATTCTGGCTTTGTTATTTTGTTGGTTTTTTTTTTTTTTTAAACTAAGTGAATTCTGCTGTATTTGTCCAAGTAGTACTTTGTGTTAGTCCTGAGGCCTTGGAATGACTTCCAGAGCGAGGTTCACAGGTATCATTACATCCCTGTGCCTCTGACCCCACTGTTTGTTTTCCAAATCCTCGAAATTTAGGGGAAGAAGAAGGAAACGTGTGTTGTGACTGCCCTGTGCATGGGCGATCCAGCGGGAACTCACCGGCTCCCGGGTCCGCAAGAGGGGCAGAGAGGCTAGGCTCGGCCTTGGAGGGCTTGCTGTTCTTCTCATATCTTTCTTTCTTTCTTTTCTTTTTAAAATAAAACTGATTGAATCAATGGACTTGATTTTTATGAGCCGCTTTACAGACACACAGAGAAGGAAACAGGTTGGCATGAATTGGGGGAGGGGAGAGTGATCCAAATTAAATATCACAGTTGCCTGCCATTCCTTTGCTGACAGAAAGCAAGCAGTTTTCCCTGAGAAGCATGTGTAGTCTGTCAGGAAGGAAAAGCACAATTAGCACTCCTCTCACATAACACTTTATTGATAGCACCGTCTTAATTCTCATCATGTAATTCAGTATGCTCTTGTCTTTTTTACTGTGAGTCAAAATCCGTGTGTATTTGACTTTGACCCGTGTCATCCTTTGCAGGGAAAGCGTAGTTTCTCTGACCACCTACCTGAGAGCAGTGAGGTTTCCTCTTTCCCATCTGCTTGCTGTCCCACAGGTCAGCACCTGCTTCCTACTGGTTTTTCATTCTGTCGTCTGTCCTTTCGTCTAAGTGTCCTGGTCTGCTGTAACCAATTGCCACACACCTGGTGGTTTACTTATTTTCTCAGGGTTTAGGCAGTCAGAAGTCCCAACTCAAGGTGTTGGCTGGGCTGTGCTCCCAGCAAAAGCTCCAGGGGAGAATCTCGCTCCCTGTGCAGGTTTCTGGTGGACCCTGGCACTCGGTTGCATAAATCTAGTCTCTGTCTTCACGAGGCCATTTCCACTGTGTCTGTGTCTTTTCCCGTCTCCAGTAAGGACTTCTGTTGTTGGAGTTAGGGTGCTGAGTGCACAGTTGTTACGAATGAATGCTTATTGATTTGTAATGTGGCCTAAAGTAGCTCAAATGAATGGTTGGGCTAATTGTCCCTCCTCGTTTCAAAGTTGTCCTGTCATTATCTCTGAGGACACATGGCTGTAGACATTCCGACCTCACAGAGCAAATGCGTGTCGCAGATAAAAGATAGAACATCTGATAGCTACACGTGAAAGAAGAGCAGTCAGTACATCAGGCCGTTAGCACAGCCTGTAAGGGTGCTGGTTTTCCAGGTGTGGATCCTTGGGCTGGTCAGCTTCCGAGGTGGTGGTGACGGTTACGAGCTTCCAGCAAAGAGCAAATATCTCAGTAGAATTGACCCTATTTATTCTTTATTAATTCAGATACCCAAGTGAGAAAAAAATGATCAGAGTCATAAAAATAGAGGGATGAAATCATAATATGAATATGCTTGCTCTTACTTGATTCACTCAATCGAGTCAGTTATAAATTCAGGACAGATGCTTATCCTGTTCTTTGCGAACCACAGTGTGGCAGAGAAGAAGGGCACAGGGCAGTGGCCAGGAGTGATCAGGAAGCCCAAGTTTCAGGTGAGGAGACCAGGCCTGGCTCCACTGCCATCTGTATGACATTGGACAAACCGCTTCACTTCTCCAGGCTGAAAAACTGACATTTCCTGTCTTTGCAAGAAACCAGATGGGTTGAACCATTAGTTTTCCAGCAATGTCCCAGCATGCCACGGAGCACCATCTCTGCCCAGCTGTCCCCTGACCCAAGCCTCAGAGCTCAATCTGGAATTCCACACTGGGTTTGGTTCACAATTAAGAAACTCTGGTGTTTTTGTTTCCCCTCGTGCACCTGCTTACAGCGGAAAGCTACAAGGAAACTCAGATGGTGAAGATTAAAGAGGAACCCATGGAGGTGGACATCCAGGACTCGCATGTGTCAATATCACCCAGCCGGAATGTGGGCTACAGCACTTTAATCGGGCGAGAGAAAACTGAGCCCTTGCAGAAGTTGCCAGAGGGCAGGGTACCCCCCGAGAGAAACCTCTTCAGCCAGGATATCTCTGTGAAGATGGCTTCTGAGCTTCTCTTTCAACTGTCGGGTGAGTGTATGCGCGGGAAAATGCCAATGACTGGAATCGTGGAACAGAAAGCTTTCCAGCAGGGTTGTTAAAAAAAAAAAAACCTCCACATTACAGGATTTTTTTCAGACAGAAATCAATTTTATTACTACAACATGCATACCGCCACCCAAACTAACAGTTAATAAAGTGCTGCCAAGTAGAATCCCTGCCAAGCTTCCTTTAATAAATAGTTAAGAACGATGTGAAATGAGAACTCTGTTCAATTCTGAGCAAATGACCCCTGTTGACTGTGCTAAACACTTCACCCCTAATTTTGTTTAGGCAGTTGATCTGATTAATAGCCTTTTTTCCCCTAATGTACAAAAGATAAAGTTCGGTTTACTCCAACAGTGACTGAATTACCACGAATTCCAATTTAGTGAGGTTGGAATGAATGAGATTTTATTCATACTGTATCTTGCCCGAAGAAAGAAACAGCAAAAGGTAAAAGTATGAGGACTGTTGCCAGCTATAGCCTAATAGAACATTTTCTGTAAACCAGCTTTTTTACTGTGAGTTCTTGGGATTCTACGGTACAGTCATTATCAGCCAGTGGAATGTCTTGATAAAATAGTTGAGGGTGCTAGTACCTAAGCTGTTCCTTTGTTCACTCACAAGCCACATACCGCATGCTGTTATTTTTTGGACATGACTGAGATGAATTATGTATTATGTGTACAAAGTTCAGGTTTTGATCAACATCATACACCTGTCTATAGGCACGTGCTGACCTACCCATTAAAGTTCATGCATCAGTGAAGTTTGTTACTAATGGCTGAAAAATCTGTTTTGTGATGGATAACAAATTTACCCATTCAGTGCTTCATTTTGTAAGTGTTCGCTTGCTTCCTACCCTACCAGAGTATCAGGAAAAGGAAAAGCTGAACTGTGTGCCACCACGGTATTGAACTACTCATTGAGACCCCACAGCTGTGTATCTATCAGATGGTGCGGAAAGTGGTGGCCTCCAGGGTCTCCCAACACGGGCTGGATTTGTGCAGATCTCTGCAATAGGAGACACTGTTAATTCAGTCAACGTGATAGGACCCATAGATCTTTGCAAGTTGCAAAACACGTGAGGGGCTTTCTTTTCCCAAGGCTTCAGCGTATCTAAAAACAATAGCATTTTGATAATGACTTAGGAGTTAAAATTTACAAAAGTGAGAGCTCCCGGGTTCTTTCCAGTCTTTATAGCAGTACATTCATGCTCATTGTCATTGTCAAGTAGACACAAAGGGACTGTCCACACAAACAGGTAGGTGGCAGCTTCAGTCTAGTATTATAGGACATTGTAAATCTTTGCTTAATTTTTCCCAAAAATATGCAATATTAGGAGTTTTTTACTCTCTCACATTGAAATCTGACACCCTTCTAGAGTTGGCCAGGTTTTCTCTGTGTACTGAAGCCACTGAGAACCATGATAGTCAGGGGAGAGTCCTCGCATTTGAACTGGATTGGGAAGGCCAGAGTTCAACCTCTGTGTTCATGAGCGCTAATTAAATAATTTCTGACAGCTGGTAGATGCAGCCCTCAAGGCCCAGGAAGGGAGGGTTTTCTTCTTGACTAATAATATTTGGTGTCCCTTGTGACATTTATCAGAATAAGCACTCAGTGACTTGCAGCACCAAGAATTCTCATGGCTGTTTTTCATGTCCCCTCCCACAGAGGGGCCCAGCAACACAGAATGCTTAAAGGTTGTCACAGAGTCAGAGGCGGAGCCGTTGTGACCACTGCAGCTTTCATGCTGAGTCTGAGGATGGCAGACGTGTTCAGCTGGGGAAAGACAGAGCGGAAGTGACCGTCTCTGCACGTGCCTCTGCGTACCTACTTGAAAATTGATTAACTCGGAAAGTTAAAAGTCAGGCAGCGTACTTGAACTGTTATTAACTGATTCCCTTTGGATTTTTTTTTTTTGACAGGCAGGGTGGACAGTGAGAGAGAGACAGACAGAGAGAAAGGTCTCCTTTTTCCGTTGGTTCACTCCCCAATGGCTGCTGCAGCCAGCGCACCACACTGATCCGAAGCCAGGAGCCAGGTGCTTCCTCCTGGTCTCCCACGCGGGTTCAGGGCCCAAGGACCTGGGCCATCCTCCACTGCCTCCCCAGGCCACAGCAGAGAGCTGGACTGGAAGAGGGGCAACTGGGACAGAACCGGCACCCCAACTGGGACTAGAACCCAGGGTGCCGGCGCCGCAGGTGGAGGATTAGCCTATTGAGCTGCGGCGCCGGCCTGACTGGATTTTAATAAAAGATTTTTGTGACTGTTATCTACATGCTTTTGGCAATTATCTTTCACAGTAAGACAGGAAAGATTTGTTTGTTTATAAAAGAAGCCAGGAATGGGCATTTGACCCAGAGATTAAGGCGTTTATTAGAATTCCCACATCACGCCCCACGGTCCCTGAGTTCGGATCCCACCTCTGCTCCCAGTTCTGGCTTCCTGCTAATGCTGACCTTGAGAGCCAGCACTGATGATGCGAGGACTTGGGTCTCTGTCACTCGCATTTGGAGACCTGGATGGAGTTCCTGGCTCCTGGCTTTGACCTAACTCAGCCCCAGGCATTGTGGGCATTTGGGGAATGAACCAGTGGCTGCCAGCTTTTTCTGTCTCTCTCAAATAAATAAATTTTCCAAAAAAAAAAAAATCAGAAATTAGAAAGAGGAGATGCTGAGGGTTTTTCTGCTTCAGTCTAAAAGATGAGAGTTGAGTGAGAACTCCTTGAGAGAGGGTATATGTTTCACTGTGTTTCATTCTCTTTCCTTACAGAAAAAGTGAGCAAAGAGCACAATCACACGAAAGAGAACACCATCCGGACAACCACCAGGTAGGCCTCCTTGTGCGGGCTGCCCTCGGAGGAGCCCTGTGGGTCCGCCAGGCCCTAACAAGCCAATTCTCCCTCTTGGTTCAAAGGATTCACTTCACCAAGGTTTTGTACTAGAACTTCTCAGTTACTGGAAACAATACAGAAACATAGGACAACAAGGGGAAAAAACCAACAACATTTTATTAAACATCCATGAGATGTCCTTGCTGGGAGAATTTTCCATGTGATTGTTTTTTTTATTCCTTACCAATAATTTTGTGAAGTAGCAGCTAGTATTATCATCTTTGCAATCTTTGCAGAAGTTTGGAATTTAAACGGGTGGGACAGTTGAAGCTGAGAGTTGGGGCTCTGTCTCATGCCAGCCTCACCTGATTGGTATACCTTGGCTCTTGTTGCAACCAAGGCTTTACAACTGTGAGCTGATAATTAGGCACCAAGGATACCTTAGCTTTTTTTTTTTTTTTTGCCTCACAGCATTGTTGGGAGGGCAAGGATAGCAAGGATAATGCTTTTTTTTTTTTAACTTTTATTTAATGAATATAGATTTCCAAAGTACAGCTTATGTACTACATTGGCTCCCCCCACCATGACTTCCCTCCCACCCGCAACCCTCCCCTTTCCCGCTCTTTCTCCCCTTGCATTCATATCAAGATTCATTTTCAATTTTCTATATATACAGAAGATCAGTTTAGTATACATTAAGTAAAGATTTCAACAGTTTGCACCCACATAGAAACACAAAGTGAAAAATACTGTTTGAGTACTCGTTATAGCATTAAATCTCAATGTACAGCACATTAAGGACAGAGATCCTACATGAAGAGTAAGTGCACAGTGACTCCTGTTGTTGACTTTACAAATTGACACTCCTGTTTATGGCATCAATAATCTCCCTATCTGCAGTCATGAGTTAAGGATAATGCTTTAAGCCACGGCCAGAGCATCAATATCATTCACAGTGGTAGGGGAAAGTTTCCAGCTTGTGGGGGCCGACTAATGTGGGCTGCCCATCAGTGTAGTGTCAGCAGGAGAGAGGACTAGCCAGGGTCACTAGTCCCTGAAGGCTGTCCCAGCCTGAGCTGTCATAGGCAGTAGCCAGCAGGCAAAACCCAACACTGCAGAAAAGGAGCTTGCGGGAAATGATGCCTCCACCTTTGAAGGCCCCTCCCCCACCCTGCAGTTGCCCTCACTGGCTCAGGATAGTTTACAGGGTGAGCCAGCAGGAGCAGAAAGGACTAGCACATAAGATTGTTCCTGGCCAGAGCAGTGATGGGGTTTGCAGTTACAATTTTTTGAAACAAAAGATAAGTGATGCTTTTCTTTCTGGCGTGCTATGAATTGACCTCAGAGCATCATCAATCATGTGCACAGTACTCATTTGAACTTTATTTTTAAATTTTTAAGGGTTTATTTATTTATTTATTTGAGAGGCAAAGATATAGACAAAGGGAGAGACACAGAGAGAGGTCTTCCATCTGCTGGTTCGGTTCACTTCCCAAATGGCTGTAATGGCTGGAGCTGGGTGGATCCAAAGCCAGGAGCCAGGAGCTTTTTCTGGGTCTCCCACATGGGTGCAAGGGCCGAAGAATTTGGGACATCCTCTGCTGCTTTCCCAGGCACATTAACCAGGAGCTGGGTCAGAAGTGGAGCAGCCAGGACTCAAACCGGTGCGCTTATGGGAAGTCTGTGCTGCAGACGGAGGCTTAACCTACTATGCCACAGCACTGGCCCCTCTCATTTGAGCTTTAGCCTGAGGTTTTAAAAAATTTGCTTCATTGGAATTTAGGAATATCAAATATCGTAGAGGAATGAAAATGAAGCCAGCTTGCCTCTCACTGGGCTATGCAGTCTTAGAGAAAGGAACCTCACCCTAGTGGGACAGAGCTCGGGGTTAGCCTTGTCGCCCTGTATAACAACATGGATGGAAAACAGGTCTTGTGGAGATGATCTGCAGATTACCATGGGAGAAAGCTTTAAATTTCCTTTTCCATGAACTCTTTGGAGCCACTTTGTATCTGCTTGTGCCCGTGGGCCTAAACACTGATGGGACTGGCAGATGGGTAGAAATTTAATGCCAAATGGATTCAACATAATAAATGGTCATTTCAGTTTGCTTCCATGGTATGTTTGAAGTGTCATAGGTCAGGCTTTCTAGAAGCTGCCCCTGGGGTGGGGATTCTCATGCGAGTGCGTTATTGAGGGTATGCAGTCAGAGGGGCCTGGTGAGGGAGGGGAAAGGAGCCATTAAGAGGTAATTTCACCCGGGTTCTTGCTTCCACTCTTGCCTCTTGGGAGCTCTGGGGCAGAGCAAACACTGCCAAGAAGCAAGCGGGTCATTTTTTGTACCCCCGTGTCATTCACTTGCAGGGGGTATGTGGCCTCCCAGGTGAGCTGCTGCAGAGGGGAGCAGCCAACACTCTCAGAGGGTGCATTAGTGCAGGAAGCTAAGAGGCATCTGGGCCAGACCCCAGCAGCATGTCCTACCGAGATTTCTTCTGGCTCCTGAAAGCTACGTGGTCATATAGATATAACAAAAAGTGTGCTGTGAGACCATGTTATTTTACACTTTCAGGTGTTCATTGGGAAAGGTAAGAGAAGGTTTGAACTAGCCCCAAAGAAGCGAAATGTGCCTCAAGCCTAAATTGCTTTGGCTGCAGCTGAAGTATAATTATAGAAGAGCAGAGAAAAAATTTTTGAACCATTTGGCGAAAGCGAAGCCATCATTAAATTCTCCTCTTGCTGGGAGCTTACGAGTGAGAAGAAGTCTGCATCAGATCCTTTGCCCAAAGCAAAGGCAGAGATGCTTCCTGCGAGCACGGCAGAGTGTTCAGAAATCGTGGTACCAATTGTTGGTTTCAGTTCTGCAAAATCCTTGGTGTGTTTTTATTTTCCCTTTGAACAGCCAACTTGCTCAATTAGCCTGTCCACAAATAGATTTCTTTTTTACCTCTCACCTCATTACTTCAAGTGGAATAGCATCAAGCTGTTGTATGCCAAGAAATCCTCTTTAGCTCAAGTTAACTGATATCAGGGACCGAAAGAATAACACCAACTCTGTCTTCCGATTTCTGTTTTACAAGGAACTATGCACAAGGTCGTGTGTGGATTATGTTTGGAGGTATGATTGGTGATACATTTCAAAAAGATTTACATCAAGTACCTGAATTCCCATAGCTCCAGATTTGTTTTTTGATTTGTATTTGCTTCTTTACTTTGTGGGTTTTTTTTTTCTTTTTTTCTTTTTGGGTGGAGACCGTGGGCATGTATCTCCAGAATTTTGCATACGTGGTGGAGTGTTTGTATAGTTCTCAGGTTTCCTATGAGAGGACCTAATAGAAGCTGACTGTTCAGCACCTTGGCTCAGGGTCAAAATCAAGTTCAGAATTTTCTGGGTTTGAGACTTGCTAGCTACACCTAAGACAGTGTGACTGTGATGGGCATCCCGAGCGTGTTGAGTTCAGTCAGTACCGTGATCCATCCTTTCCACACCTGTCTGCTGCCAATGGATGCCCGAGCGCCTCAGCTCACTGTGGTCTCCTGTGCCAGGGTGTGGGTTTCCAAGGGGATGAACTGGGAGAAGCAGCATTTAGTACTGAAAAAAAAAGAGGAGCCGATTCTCTCCCTTCTTTACAAATCCACTCCACTCCCTGCTGTTCATCATTATCGATCTTCATGCTCATTGCGATCACAAGAACTAAGGAGGAGAGTAGACAGTTTGCAGCTTGGCATTCTTTTTTTTTTTTTTAAAGAAAGATTTATTTTTTATTTATTTGAAAGGCAGAGTTACAGAGAGAGGAAGAGAGACAGGGAGAAGTCTTCCATCTGCTGGTTCACTCCCCAAATGGCCGCAACAGTCGAGTCTGGTCCAGGCCGAAGCCAGGAGCCAGGAGCTTCTTCCAGTCTCCCATGTGTATGCAGGGGCCCAAGCACTTGGGCCATCCTCCACTCCTTTCCCAGGCAAATTAGCAGGTAGCTGGATCAGAAGTGGAACAGCTGAGTCTCGAACCGGCTCCCACATGGGATGCCAGAACTGCAGTTGGTGGCTTAACCTGCAGCCACAACTACAGCTTGGTATTCTAATGTGACTTTCAGTGAGATTCAGGATTGCTGATTTCTATGCCCAGGCACCAAGAGAACATGATGTCTGTGGATGTATGTAGTGAATTCTCTATTCCAGGAAGGTTGATATCTCTCTCTTCATCAAATTCTCTTCCTCATGTCTGTTTACTGGCAACTCTGCTCTTTTTTTTTTTTTTTTTTTTTTGGACAGGCAGAGTTAGACAGAGAGAAAGGTCTTCCTTCTGTTGGTTCACCCCCCAAATGGCCGCCACGGCCAGCGCGCTGCGCCGATCCAAAGCCAGGAGCCAGGTGCTTCCTCCTGGTCTCCCATGGAGTGCAGGGCCCAAGCACTTGGGCCATCCTCCACTGCCTTCCCGGGCCACAGCAGAGAGCTGGACTGGAAGAGGAGCAACTGGGACAGAATCCAGTGCCCCAACAGGGACTAGAACACAGGGGTGCCGGTGCTACAGGCGGAGGATTAGCCTAGTGAGCCGTGGCGCCAGCCAACTCTGCTCTTTCTTACTACCCCTATCATAACATGGGCAGCTATGGAGAGTGAAAAGTGTGAGATTGCATGCCTTGTTAGCAGTTTTTAAAAAGAGGTTTTAGGAGAAGCTAAAGGTTAAAACTAATAACTAGCAAGTTTCTGGATCGTTGCTTTTCTACCTCAATTTTTTTAAAACCCATAATGCAAAACTTTAAAATGTGCAGAATTAGAAATCACGTGCCTGTCACCTGGTTAAAATAATTACCCACTTATGACTTATGTTGTTGCATTTTCCTCTCCCTGTCACTCCCTCCCTATACATTAGTTTGAGGCAGAGCCCAAATACCATAGAAAGAATTGGTTTGAGAGAGCCTTCATTTTTTTTTTTTAATCCTAAGAATTTATACTCAGCTGGTTAAGTTAGGAGCATCTTCCTAAAAATAAAGGAACAAAG